GTCTCCAGCAGGCTGACCACCATCAGGGACAGACACAGGGCAAAGTAGACACCTGCGGGCAAAGCAAATTATAAATTACAAAACAAATTCATCTGTATACTTATTTATGTTATAAAAGATTGATTTATTTATGCATATGGAACTGTGGTACAGGCCAGAGGTGCAGGGGTGGTGAGAGGATTCACCAGAGTGGGGAACAGAGCCAGCAGATTGACAAAGTACACTGCTGAAGGGAGCAGCAGGTGAGACAGGAGAGGTCTGCTGTGCCATGTGGGTCAGCTCCCTGGCTGGGGATCAACCTCATGCTGAAGAGGTTCTGGAAGGCTTCATAGTGCTATGTTTTAACCATTGTTCCACCAGAGAGGGCCCTATACATTTTTTTAAAACCTCTTTCCCCAATTCCAATCTTTCCTCAGAGTCCTTTCCCTTCTTAAGTGGAGAGAGAAGGGATTCTCCTGGTTCCCTTTCACTGTCCCCTGCTGCCTATGCTTCTCTGGAAAATGAGAGGGTCCATACTGATGAGGGGGGTGCCACTGTTGGGGAGTAAGTCATTCATCATGAGCAGGAAGACGTTGTAGCCCAGCAGAAGGGTTATCTTGAATGGGGCCCGGTTCTCATTTTCTGCCGGGAGGTAGAAGCTGAGGGCGTCGATGGCAACCAGAAAGCTGCTGGGCACCAGGAGGTTTACAATGTAGAGGCTGGGCCTGCGCCTGATGGCCACCTGGTGGGGAGGAGAGAGTGTGGAGAATGTGGCAAATACACTGATGCCAACTTATATCTTTGACTATGTAGTCCTGGCTGATGTCCCAGTGGGCTGACTGTGGGAAAATCTCTTTAGATAACACAATTACTTGTTCTCTCTATAGAAATGTCCCCAAGTTGTTGTCTAATTTTGTGTGTAATTTGTTAGAAACACAGCTATAGGCTTTCAGGAACAAGTAGCAGCTTTTGCACCAGCAGAGAGATGTCTGCTCCATTCCAAGCAGGGATGCTCATAACACTCCTCCTTGCAGGGCTGTAGCGGTGGGAGGCAAGAGGTGGGGAGTGGGGAGGCCATGGGTCCTTTTTCAGGGCAGTTAGGGGAGAGGATGGAGTGAGGAGCAGGGGCTTAACTCCCTGCTGCTTTATTTTTATACCCCAAGTTTCCTTACAGCAAGAGGAAAATTACAGAGCAACTGGTACCAAAAGCCAAACAGGGACCCCTGGACTTACATAGAACATGAGTTGGTCATACACACTGGTGCCCACCGATATCTTTGGGGTGGCCTTGCTGATGCCCAGGAGTTCCCACTCTCCCTGGGTCTGAATGATGTCCTGAGACGTTTCTGCGATCTCCCATACTTCCCTGTCCGTGCCCAGTAGCAAGCTCTCCACTGTGAGGGAGACCAAGGTATGTTTCAGTCCAGAAGTGCTCCCCTATCTCTGCCTACAAAGTCCAATTCTGCCCCTTCTTCAACAAAATTTCCCCTGTCCTTTAAACGTAGGGCACCTTAGTTTTCTCAGAAGTGGGGTACAGGACTAGCCATTCATGCGTGTGGGACTGCAGCACTAATTTTTTATGGTTTGAAAACAAGATTGAATCAAAGTTGTGATGAGGATATTGGATATGACTGAATAGGAGTCAAGAACTTTTATAGTCACCCCGACTTTCCTTTTGGTTCCCCAGTTATTTTGATGGAATCAATTTGAACAACTCAACTTTTTTTTTAAGGCACTTCCTTTAAAATGACTGATTTACCCCTTCTCAAATAACATCTACTGGCATTTAGCTACCTCGACTTACATGTTTTAATGGGCTGTTTAAGTTAAAAGATTTGAAATAAAAATTATAGTTGTGCAGCAGTTAGAGACAAGTAGGTCTTTGTTTGGTGCAAGTGAATCCTAGAGCTAAAGCAACAGTTCTTTTGTTTTTTAAATTTATTAAGGACTTACAGCAGTAATTTCTAAGCCTGTTTGCACGTTAGCACTGTCTGGGAGGTATATGGGCTCCCCCGAAACCATTAATTTAGAAAATCTCTGGGATAATGCATAATTATGAATATTTTCAAAAAGCTTTAGTGGGCAACCAGAGTTGAGAAATGCTGATCTAAAACCTGCTATGTTAACACCTCCACCACTTAGCGATCTTTTCTGAATCTTAAATAGTCATCAAAATGTGTCATGCTCACCTGTGTAGAGGAAGGAACTGAAGGTGAAAGTGCAGTTCTGTTGGTCAAAAGGGAAGTAGAAGATATCCAGGTTGCAAATGCTGTTCACCCGCACAGGCATGTCGTACTTGACTCGACCTTTGCTGCTGACATACGCGGTGAGACCTGCAGGGGCCCGCTGCACATTCATGCTGCTTGGGAGGGGGAGGCAGAAGTGGGTGCTATGGTGCCTTAACCCTGTGTCTCCCCCAATATCTTTAATTTTTTAAGATTTGGGCTCTTCCTGGTGGCACAACAGGTTAAAGCACCGCATTATGAAGCCTCCAAAGCCACTGCAGCACGAGATTGATTCCCAGCCAGGGAGCCGACCCACATGTCATGGCAGACCTCTCCTGACCTGCCTGCTGCTCCCCTCAGCAGTGTACTTTGTCAATCTGTCTGTTCTGCTCCCCACTCTGTCTCTGCTGAATCCTCTCACCCACCACACCTCTGGCCTCTACCCCAGTTCTGTAAGCAGAAATAAATAAATCTGAAAAAAAAAAAAAAAGGATTTATTTATTTATGCATGTAAGAGCTGAGGTATAGGCCAGAGGTGCAGTGGATAAGAAGATTCACCAGAGACAGAGTGGGGAGCAGAACGGGTGGATCTACTGAAATACACTGCTGGGAAGAGCAGTAGGTGAGACAAGTGAGTTCTGCTGTGCCATGTGGATCACTTCCCTGGCCAGGGATTGAACTCATGCTGCAGTGCCTGTGGTTAGCTTCATAGTGCTGTGCTTTAACCCTTTATGCCACCAGCGGGCCCCTCCCCCACATTCTTACACCTCGCACTCTTTTTGGCTTTTTTTCTTTAATGTCACCTTATCTTGTCTCTTCTCCTAGTGTTTTGAGGAAGTCCATTCATTGAGACTGTGCCCCTGCCTGAGGATTTTTGCTTCCCTGTGCCCTGCACTGACCCCAGGCTATTCTTTGCAGATGGGCTTGATGCTGGCTCCTCCCAGCCCAGATACGCACGATTCCATGATGAAGATGTCTGGGAGCCACAGGTTTTCAGCTGATATGCTGAGCTTATCCATGCTGACACAGTCTTCCAGATTCCAGCTAATAAAAGGATTGTCCCACATCTGCAGCCAGGGCGGTGGGACAGAGGTGAGTGATGGTGAAGCTTGTTCAGTCAACCTCCCCTGCCCTTCCTGTTCTTCTTCAAACACTCTAATGCCTTCTCATGTTTGTAATGACCCCAGCCTGTCTGCCCTTCTTTATCTAGCCAGATACCGTTGGCAAAGGACTCTGTAGTGCCTTTTTCCAGACAGACCTTAAGGATGGTATAAAACCACTTGTATCTAGGATCACATCAATATTAAGGCTGCATCCACCTGACCATTTTCCTGGGTCACTATTTCAACCTTAAGTTGCAGGGAGATTTGTGTTCTCCAAGGTCAGTCCAGTTCTAGATGGAGTTATTTGGCCCCAGAAATATTTCTGGACTAGGAAAGACTTTTAATCTCTTCTCAAGTTAAAAATATAAGTAGAAGTGGGGAGGGGAAAGTTGGATCTGCCTTACCAAATTCATCCATAAGAATGTTGTCAGTAGCTGGAGCTGTGCATCCTGTTAAACAAATTCCCATCCAGGATTATTAGTGCAAGAAGCCCACTCCCACCTCACATTCATACCAATATTTGCTAAGTTAGTGGGCCAGGCATAGCTCTAGATGCTGGAGTATCTTTTGCTTACCTGTCTTGCCTTTCATCTACCACTCTGAAGCATTCCAGAAAGGACAGGAATAAAGGATCAATCTTTGAGAAAAATACCACTACAGCATTTCTTATAGCTCCCTGCCCCATAGGAAAACCCTCCAACTTGTACAAAATCCATTCAGAGTACCAGATGCTCACCACTGGACCAGTACAATGTTGGGTTGATTGGATAGAGGGTTTTTGCCCCTTATCAGAAGTTACAGAAAGTGGGGACCAGGTCTCACCACTTCCAGGATGGCAGAGAGGGTGAAGGAGATGTTGACATGCGTGGGCATACTGTAGTTGATGACGGGACGGAAGGCCTTTCTGTCAAACACTGCTTGGAAGGCAGAGGGATCCAGCCCGTGCTGGTCAAAGCCTGAGCAATTGATGGTGAAAGTGTCACCTTGTCCTGCAGAGAGCAGAGACCCTGTGAGAGAGGGTCTCTATTTCCAGAGGTGGAACCTCTCCACAGAGAGAGAAAACAGGTGGCATCCTGGGAAAACATCATCCCAGGTGAACCCCTCCTTCTTGAGTCAAGACTTTCCAATGCCAAAACCCTTCCTGCCAGAGCCAGAGAGGATGGGCTGGTCTGGTAGGCAAATGGTGGAAGTTGTGTGGTGAACACAGCAACCCTCATTCCCGTGGTTTTGTCCTCATGCAAAACCTGCCCAAATCTGTACGCAAACTCGGCCCTGGTGCAATGATGTCATACGCCAGTTGGGTTCATCTACTCGCCTTGGTTAGCTGCCCCAAAACTTGTCCTAGTCACCCAGAAACTTGCTCTAATGTCTTTCTCTTCCTCATTCCCAAGGACTTCTGTTACTAAAGACAAGAACTGTTTTATCAAGGGGTTAAGAGAAGTAAACAGCTGCACTCACGAGGTAGCCAGGGCAAACATGTAGCAGGTTTTCTGAGTGCTTACCTTGCTGCTATGCATTTATTTTCTCCTTCTCACAGGGAATCACCTTGAGGAGGCTGGGGCTTATTTCTAGCACTGGGATCATGAGGCACCAAGTACGGACCATGCACTGGTCATTGATGAGGCCTGCGCAGGGGCGGGCCTCACAGGAGTGCCTGAGAAGAATTTTTGCCCCATTTCTAGCTTTGTCTTCTGCTCTTCTTCCTCTGCTGGCTCCTATACATCTCCATCTCTTTCCATGATATTTAAGGTATATACCCAGACTGGGAACAACTGCTCCTTCATGGAAGCAAGTATCATCCATCCTCAGATGGATCCCTACCTCCATTGAGGTATGTTTAAAATCAGTGGCTGCTCTTCTCCTAGGTACAAGGAGAGGAGAAAGAGAGTTTTGGACAGTGAGTGGAAAGGAGGAGTTGGAGAGGTGGTGAGTTGGGATTGCAGGCAGGTGGAGTGTCTTTCTCACTGTCACCAACAGGGAATCAAGACCCAGACATTATGGCAGAAATATTTAACATATTAATTCTGAATGTCCTCCAAGTGCTAGAAGGGCTTCCCCAGATGTCCAGTAAAACCACACTCTGGTCTTCCTGGTACTTGCCCCCTCTTACTTGGAAGCAGAAGGCTGACAGTGAGGCAGAAGAGGAATCTCCCCCTGGAGGGCCACCCCCCTGCCATCATCCTCTTCTGGACTCTTCTCTGGAGACTAACCAGGAACACCCAAACCCTTAGCTTAAAGGAGCTCAGACCACACCTTGGTTTTGAATACTGTTCTTGACAAGCAGCCACTCCCTGGTGAGAGACTGTGGGCTAAGAGGTCACAGCAAAATGCCCTGCTTTGCGCTGTCCAGGTCTGCCTTCCGGGCTCCAGGTAGGGAGGATGTAGGGGAGAGGTATCCTGTTTAGCAAATCTCTGCTGAGATTAATAACAAAATAACTTGCCTAATGAGAGAGTGTGGGCAGGTGAAACAAGAATTTTTTTTTTAAAGATTTATTTATGCTTACAGAACTGGGGTACAGGCCAGAGGTGCAGGGGCGGTGAGAGGACTCACCAGAGAGAGAGTAGGGAACAGAACAGGTCGACTGAGGAAATACACTGCTGAGGGGAGCAGTGGGAAGGTCAGGAGAGGTCTGCCCTGCCATGTCGAACTCATGCTGAAGTGGCTTTAGCTTCGTAGTGCTGTGCTTTAACCCACTGCACCATCAGGAGGGCCCAAGAATTTTGTTCTTTTAAGGCCAGGGAATCTGCAGATTTGCAAAGGTGACATATTTATGATTTGGCTATGTATTCATTAGGGATACTTGCCAATGTCAAATTATAAAACTTGATCCTGCCTTTGTTACATGTTATCTATTTATTTTCCAAGAGCTTTTAATTAGATTTCCTTTTTTCAATCTCTCGTCTCCCCTGATTCATTCTCCTCCCCCAGTCAATGTAATGCATACATGTTTTACACTACACATTGATTACAGGATAAGTACATTACCTGATAAATCATAAAATTGAGATAACAGAGCTGTTTGATGCTTTTGTGTTATCAATAGTATTATATGTTATCATAAATTAGTAATCTCAGCTAACATCAATGCTATTGGCATTAATCAATAGTATATTTTATGTCCATCTCTGTATAAAAAAGTAAAACCCAGTGAAGTAAATTGGAGCATGGTTATATTAAGTATCTAAGTTACATTTTCAAGAACGATTTGGAATTTTTTTCCCCAAATTTTAAGTACTATAATTTTTTTATTTATTAAGTAAGTACTATAATTTTAATTGCTTTATTTGAAAATGTCTTTAACCCATCATTTCAGGTGTCAAACTCTTCAATTAATAACAGAGTTCATATTTCACTCAAATTTACTATGTTCTAAAATATGGTCAGGAAATACAACATCCATTTACAGAACTCAAGCAGGAAACGAGTGAAGGGTCAACTCAGAATACAGAAGAAACTGTTCAGAAGCTCAAACATTGTGACAGCCTTAAATAGAAAGTGCTGAGTCAGGCAGGAAAGGCTTAAGGTTCCAAAGTAGGAAAATACGGAAGGCTGTAGTATCATGCATCTGAAACCTGCCAGATCTGTAGTTCTTGGTCCCCATCAACTCTCTAAGTCATTTCTTCCTTTCTTTGTTACTTGGTAAGCCTGAGACAGAAGTGAAAGGGAAGGAAAGAAAGAAGGTGAGAATTCATTGAAAAAAAAGGTATCTGGTAATACTGACCTAGAAGGAGCAAGAAAGGAAGGAGGAAAAGGAAAGGGGTGGAGGTTTTTAGAAAATCTGCTCAAGGTTTGGGGTCTCTTTAGTAACAGGAAGGATTCATGTCAAGACGGGAGACAAGTTGACATCTGGCAGCATAAAGCACTGACTATCGCACGGAGGAAGCATTGGCATGAAAACTGGGCAACCTACAAGGCTATGATGCTCTCCCAAGCTGGAAGGACACATGGTCCCATATATAGTGTTCTCTTGAAGGAAGTCAAACACAGATGTGATCCAGGACCAGGACGGATCTGGAAGACCAGGCATAGCGGAGGCCTATCTGGGAAGTCAAGGGAAGGTACATATAGCAGCAAGTAGGTTCTAGACTCTTTGATTTTGAGCTGAACTACCAGGAAGAGATTTAGGGGACAGAACCCCTGGGAAAATGAACTATTATTCAGGGTAGTTCTGTGCTTTGAGGGAAGGGTTTGCAGACTAAGCATGATTGAAGAACCAGGCAGAAATGAGCAGAAAGTCTATCCTTCCATTGGACTCATCACACCACATGGAAACAGTTATTATTGTGTCTACATCCATATGGACATACCTGTGGGCCACTTGACTACAAGCCTAGTTAAGAATGATGCTTGAGTTCTGTGATTGGACGTTGTATTTCTTGACCATATTTTAGAACATAGTAAATTTAAGTGAAATATAAACTTTGTTATTAATTGAGGAGTTTGACACCTGAAATGATGGTTAGAGACTATTTTCAAATAAGGCAATTAAAATGATAGAACTTAGGGCCCTCCCTGGTGGCGCAGTGGGTTAAAGCACTGCACTAAGAAGCCTAAGCCACTTCTGTATGAGTTCGATCCCCGCCTGCACTGGAGGTGACCACATGGCGCGGCAGACCTCTCCTGACCCGCCCGCTGCTCCCCTCAGCAATGTACTTCGTCGATCTGCCTGTTCTGCTCCCCACTCTGTCCCTGTAGAATCCTCTCACCCTCCGCATCTCTGGCCTGTACCCAGTTCTGTATGAATAAATAAATAAATCTTTAAAAAAATGATAGAAATTAAAATAACAGGGCTGTAGGTTTTCTTATGCTTATGACGTATAAGTCATATAAAAATCAAATAGTTTTCCAGCATGGATATTGGGTTTCTTTTTTTTTTTTAAGATTTTTTTTATATATTCATACAGAATTGGGGTACAGGCCAGAGATGCGGAGGGTGAGAGGATTCACCAGGGACAGAGTGTGGAGCAGAACAGGCAGATTGTCGAAGTACGCTGCTGAGGGTAGCAGCGGGCAGGTCAGGAGAGGTCTGCTGGGCCATGTGGATCTCCTCCGGGGCAGGCGGGGATCGAACTCATGTGGAAGTGGCTTAAGCTTCTTAGTGCAGTGCTTTAGCCCACTGCGCCACCAGGGAGGGCCCTGGTTATTGGGTTTCTTTTCCTTTCAGAACTCTTTGGATATACGGGCTACTTTCACATTGACTGGCCCTCTATCACCAACCAAGTGTTTGGGATGCTTGTTGAGAAGGCAGACTAGCTTCGACTAGCTTAAACTAGTTCTTATTTATAGAGTTCATTCCAGGACAGAATTCCTTGTTACAAATGTGTTTTGGTCATCCCTCCTGGGAACGCCTGCTTCCCACTTTTCTTCTCCAGTTGACTCTCAGAAAAGGGAGGTCAGCCATATTTAGACAGCTTCAGTAGCTGGGTTAGCATTTTCTAAGCCCACTAGGAATACCTACCCTGTACATTCTCTGGAATATCCTGGGGGAATATCTGAGTCTCCTTTTTATTTTCAGATGCTTGCCGCTAGGCTTTCATGGTAACTCAGAATTAGGAGATGATGCGGACACTCTTAGGAGCCATTGTGAGAGTGTCAGAGACTTCTCCACACTCTGCTTTCTCAGGGCATCTTTAGAGTCTTCCTCTGGATGTACATAGCTCTAGCACTCTTGGGTCAAGACATTGCTTGAATCCAAAGTAAATAGTAGGGACAGCAGCTATAATTTTACAAGTCATGGCCACAATCATCTTGCTTCTTAGCTAATTACAAGGTGGAATCACACTGCTTTGGCCTCTGTTGGCCCCATTCACCAGGGATGGACCCAGGTGGGGTGATCAGGTTTGGGAATATTCCGGTAACTGGGAAGGAGGACAGAATTAGATAAGGGAAGAGGTCTATTTTGCAGCCCTGATGGATGGCAATCACACACAGAGGTCACTGAGCAGGGCTAAGGAGTCAGGCTTATGGAAAGTAGTGGAAACAGCCAAACTGCAGGTGGGTCACTCATTGAGCTCATGGGACTCTCAGGAAAGAATCCCATGAACTGGGAGTCACCTGTGGCTGCCACTTTGACAGGCCCAGCTCTGACTGCAGGCTTTCTTGAAGATTGATAACCCTATACTCACCACTACACTTTTCTCCACTTTATTATTTTTTCATCTGAAGAGTGAGGGGGCTGCACTAAAAAATCTGAAATTCTTAGTCTATTGCCTCCTACCTAGAAGTTGATTTTAACTCTAGGTCTCAGTCTGCACGATAAAAAGATGTTCTGTGGTGTTTCACATTTGGCTTTTTAGTTTCTGTAGACTTATACATGTTTTTTAAAAGACATATTTTCCAAAAATAATAGTTTAAGTTACTACTTCCATTTCACAAATGAAGACATTTACACTGTAAGATTAAGTCACTTGTACCCAGTTACCCAGTTAGCAAATAATGGGGTCACACTAGAACTGAGAATTGCCAGTGTGTCTATGCTTTATGGTTCCCCTCTCCCATATAGAATAACCAGTGCTGATGAATGCCCAAATAGGAGAGGTTATCAAAAGGTGGGCCAGAAGATGGAGAGGAGGACAGGGCAGGTTTGAAGTGATGTTTGTGCCAGCACATCCCAGAGTAAAGGAAGGGGAGAGAGAGGTATATAATGGTAATGAGATAATGGATTTCAATGTCATATTAATAAGGAGCCAGGGAAAAAATGAAGAAAACATAAAAAATCGGCCTATAATGGTTAAGGAAAAGAAAATGAGGTGAAAAAAATATATATAAGAACCATAGATGGCATTGTCATGAATGGGCAAGGCGAAGAGCTATTATGTGGAAACAGACCCTCAAATGCAAGATGGTTCAGGCAATACCAGCTTGTCTGCAGATTTTTCTGAGATCATAAATGACTTTGCAAAGTCTGTCAGAGGTTTTCCAAATAACAAGAGAGAAGCCATTGGCACAAAGTGTGTCCATCACATGATTCTGTTACAGATGGAACAGAAAGCAGCAACCATATCAGTTAATTTTTCTTTTCATTTTTGAAAGAGCCGTGGTTTCAAAGGTATTGTATGATTATCAGTTATGTGTTAAGATTGCAAGTTCGATTTTGTTTTTGGAGAAAATGAAATCACTATACTGTACTTATATCTTCTCTTACTGAGAGATAGCATCTTAATCCAAGTGTCAAAA